TGCCAGGCATTTCTGGGGTGCCCGACCTACCCGGTATGACCATTCTGGGGTGCCGACCTACCCGTGTCAAGCCATTCTGGGGTGCTGACTACCCATGTCAAGCCATTCTGGGGTACTGACTACCCTTCAGTCCTAACGATCGAACCTCGGGGACTCTTTCACCCCCTACTGCTACTATCATATATCATAACATAACATTTTATCAGACATATCTGGGGTGCCTGAACTACCCTTCGGTCCTAGCACCCGAACTCGGGGATTGGTCCCCTCCTACTACCTCTATCGCATATAACATAACAAGCCAGCATGTAAACATATAATCACATACTGTCAGACGTATCTGCGGTGTCTGACTACCCTTCGGTCCTAACAACCGAACTCTACTACTATCACAAACAACATATCATGCTAGCATATAACATATCAGGTAGTAGCAAAACCTAGATGATATCACAAAGACAATCATCTATCATACATCTCCTACTGGTGGGTCGACATTGTGGCCTTAGACCCACCGCTACTGGAAGGTAACTCACCTCGGAAGTAGCTGCTGAAATCTGCTTGCTGGGCGTCTAACTGCTGGATCGCAAATCCTCTGGCTATAAACCATAAACATAGGTTAGACACCCATAAATACCATTAGGTCAAAAGACTGACCCTCCCTTGGCCCAAGGTTAATCCCTTGGTCAAAGTCAATGCCCGTTTGACTGGACTCGCCGAGTCATGGCTAGGACTCGCCGAGTCCTTTCCGGTAGTAACCCGGTCCTACCCAGCCAGACCTTCTTCCCACTCACTGAATCACTCTTCATTCGTGACTTGGGACGATTGAACTGACTCGTGACCCGACTCGCCGAGTTTGAAGAACAACTCACCGAGCTCCAGGAAATCTTCATAGGACTCGCCGAGTTGTTCATCCAACTCGCCGAGTCTAAGGCCATCTTCATGGAACTCGCCGAGTTCCTCCTTGGGACTCGCCGAGTCCCTATGACCCATTTCCCATATAGGCCAAATCTGAGACATGCAACGCTTCAAAACCATATATCCATGTCCCTTGAGCATGATTATCACGTAAAGTTGCAAACTTTACGTGCATGCATGGCCCTATAAGCTAAAAAGGCCAAAACCAAGCTCTTCAAGAGGTCATAGACTCAATGGGGACCTTAATCACTTCAACCACAGGAACTTTATGCTACTAATTCATCCAATAAGTCCATATCAGAAGTCCTTTCGGATCATTAAGCACCACACATGGAGTTTGGTGATCTAGGGCTTGAAAACCACCAATTTGGGACAAAAATGGCAGCTAATGATCTAAAGATCAAGGTAGAGACTTTTCTACCTGAATGGAAGATTCTCCCTGCGTAGAGTTCGAATCTACTCCTTTCCTTGCACTCTTCAACCACCTCTTTCTCCTTCTAAGCTCCAATCTCCTTCACAAGGCCAAAAACTCTCTCTAGATCAATAAGGGGGGCTAGGGTCTCACTCTAATGCTCTCTGGAAGTGTTAGGGACAAAGGAGGCCATGATAGAGTGTTTAAATAAGGTGCAAACACCCGGATTAGGGTTTTTGCCCAACCAGGGCCTACTCGCCGAGTCCAGAGTCCAAATCCCGCTCCTTGACCCACTCCTACTCGGCAAGTTAGCTCATCAACTCGCCGAGTCCAAGGTAATATATATATATATATATATATATATATATATATATATTAAGAAAATAAATATCAAGGAGTACGTACCGGGGACCAGGTGCTACAAATCTCCCCCACTTATCTTAGACTTCGTCCTCGAAGTCTGCTGCTTGATCCTGAAACAACTCGGGTAGTGCTCCATCATCTCTTCCACTGGCTCCCAAGTCCACTCCGA